TTTTTTTTTTTTTTTTTTTTGCTCTCAACCAAAAGTAAAGAAAGCCGACTCCTTTTCGTTGCGACTGACGTATTATTTTTTTGTTAGGGAACTGTGTTCGGCGAACGACCAGCTGAAAATGAGGCTGGTGTGCTCACGGTGGAAGATGTTGCATCGAAGGTTTTTCACTCGACGATCCAAAGTTATGGGATTAAGGCTGGCTGTGGGTCCGAATCAGGTATCATTCATATGTATTTCGTTAAAAAAGTTAAAAAAATATGAGATAATTTAATCTTAAGTTCACATTACAGTTTTATCTACATGGATGGAAGGCAAGTGGAGACAGACTCATAAGCCTCCCACGAGACCGCGATATTTTTGTACATTTCCTGAAACTTACAGAACTCGTTTTTGACGAAAATGAGCAGAAGAGTAACTTCTACTTTTCTTTTGCATCCAGTGTCTGGTTATCCATCATCATTTGTGCTATCTTTTTTAGTATATCCCTGCAATGACCCAGCAACATTGATGCGCTTGACTGCACTTGTTTATACCAAAAAAAAATTATTTTAGGTGGAACAATCTTGTTGGAAGATGAAGCCGCAAACGACGAATTCTTAGAATTAATCATAGAGCAGCACTGGAATATACGACGAGTTGAATTTCACGGTATAGCCATAAACATTAGCAATGATAAGTTGTGCAGGTTTGTATCCATTCAGAACGAAAATCCGAATTTGTGCGACATTCTCGTGTTTCGTGTTAAGGTTTGTTTGGTGACAGTTGGTCGAATTTCCTCCAATTAAGACGTTCTAGCACCCACCGAAATTTTTTGCACCGTCAGGCAGGAAAATTCTATTAAGATTTCGTTGCTGTAGACAAACTACGAAGAGGTAAAGCTGAAACAGTCATGACAAGAAATTTTTAAATACAGTCTTATTTCCCACTCTTATTTTTTTAGAATGGAATTATTAACGTCGGGTTTGTATCTGACCATCTCATAGAAGCATTCAAAGAAAATAACATCGATTTTGACGTTGAACTAAACGATGCTTGTAGAGCGTGGTAATTTTTTGATAAAATAAAGAAATGTAGACGGAAGTGTTACTTTATGACGACGAAAATCTACGTTCTATTCAACAATTAAAAAAGCAAAGACTACATAAAAAGACTGTAACATTTCTGGGATAATTGCACCCGAGTTGCGCTATACAATTGCTGTTCGTACAGAAGCAGTGATGATTTATTCTTGTTGTAGCCTATCGCGTACATCAATATCCAATTATGCTCTACAGTCAATTCTTCGACCAAATATGCGATACCGCCTGCAATACCCGCTCGCGTGTAAGATAACGATCCCTGGCATCAAAAAAGCACTTGAGGTTTCCTTTATGTTTCGTGGTTCACCAACTGCCAGTTTTACCCATTGTGTTTCTTCCCAAAATTTCTGTTCAATAATGCTCGCATACAGTTGGACATTTAATTATATTTAGGTTAATGTTTAAAAGAAACAATAACAGTTTTTAGAACTTTTTTTTCACCAACTGGGAGGAGCAGAAAACCAGAACCTCAACCTTTGTTAATGAGAATGGTATACTAACGACGGAGAAAGGTTACTACAGCTGTAAACTGGAGCTTCATACCAACAACTATATCAGCTTAACGTCTGTCGCATTAATAGAGTTGGACGGCGTGGAGAGGCACTGTTTCTGCCGATGTGGGGCACGACTATCAATTGAACATCTGGTTCGTAAACTCTTAGATGAGTCCATTTCCTTAGACTCAGACAATTTCTGGTAACTGTTTAAGCTGTATGTACGTTGAGCTTTACTGCTTTAGTTTACTTTCCTTCCTTTCAGGAGATTACGAGAGCCAAAAAGGGCAAAATATTCTTTCGTCGCTGTGCAAATGACCAGTTTCTTGTAGCAAAAATTATTGTTTCTTGACAAGCAACACAAGACAGTTTTTTTTCCTGTCATGTCACATAAAACCTAAGTGGTCCAATGGACTGTACTGGTCAAGTGTAATTCTAACTTTTGTAACATGTAAATTCGACTATAGGTAAACTCTCAATAACGAATGGGACCCGACTAGATTTTTGATTTTGATTCTAAAGTTTTAAGGAAGTTGAGAAACAACAATTTCAAAATAATTTTACTTTATTTTTCTACCCAGAGTTCAAACAATACTCACTTGTTGTGGGCGTTCCCTATAACCCCTTTCAGTAAGTTCTTGTCTTTAGGACTTACTGTTTTGTTTAGGTAATCAGTTAATTGCGTCTTGGTGTTATTCCAACTGCTCTTTAAATTAGATATTTTACGACCAACTTCCCAGGTCAAATTTTGCTTTTGCTTTAGTAAAACACAAGAGAGCTAATATCAGGGAAGATATAAGTTGGTTAAGTACCTACTTTACATCAGGCTACTTATTATATCTGAGGTATTCAAATATGACTCGATTAGACAGCAGTCCTAAAAACCGTTCAGACGCTAAGCTCCTAAAACAGACCTACTCTTTTACACCTTGCGTAACCGCACTGTCAGCGTTTCACGTATCCACTGCTTCCACAATTCATTTCAGCATTTCACTTCGTCAAAACAGATACTCCTACCCTTGGTTTAGCTTTGTTCTTCCTTTCCCACTCAGCTTTACTACCTAATTACAGTGGAAAGTTGCTAAGTTGTATAAATGGAGGTACGAAACTAGGAAAGCATGTGAGCGTCATAACTGGTATCACATTCCAAGCCGCACTTCAAAATCAATCCTGTGATAACGCCAGTGGATATTCTCTGTAATTATCGGCAGTTCTTCGCTTACTATGAAATCAATTCGGCCTTAAATGGCTGTGTCAAGATCAGAAAGTCAGTACGGATGATAACAATTGTATTTCATCTATAAATCGGTAGCAAACAATAGTAAGTGTGCCAAAAGGGGCGGATAAAAAACTCCAGCTTAAAGAATGTAGGGCAGTCAGTTTCAGGACCCCTTTAAGAAGTTCCAAAAGCATGTCCGAACCTTTCCCGGTTCTTGCCTCGAAGTAAATCGCAACAACTCGCAGCCCAACAATAACCACACTGTTCTGAAGTGCAGGTATATTAGGTAAGGAGGGGAATAACAGTACCACAAGTGGCTTGAAAAGCAACTTGAGCCAGATGAAGAAATTAACTGCAGTAGCAGATTCACGACTAACAACGTTAGATTGCTAAATCAGGCTCCTTTATATGTATCTATTCAAGTTCTGAACCACAAATGTTCAGATAAGATGCTAGCTATAAAAAACTGACAACTTTTTTTACAGGCTCCCATGGACAACTACACGAAATAGAAATTAATTCATTAATAGTTTAATGTTCAGATTGCTAAACAATTTTCTGCCTTCATCTTCTGTTTTTACAGAATATGGCAAAAGTATTTTCTTTTAATTTCTTTCAACAAACAGACATTGTTGCTTACTGTAGAAAGTTAATTCAGATTAACAAGCTGGAAGACATCGCTTCAAATCATAACACTTTAGATAGAATATTAGAAAAAAAAATCCAATCTTTTCCGTCATTTACTACAGAACTTCAATAGTGGGCATTAATATTGTTGGTGATCTAATAAATTTCAGTCGGATGATAGTGTATTTAAGGTATAATACCTACCAAATTAAATAAATAGATATTAACTTGACACAGACAAATTCAGTAATGTCTAATCACTTTTTGAAAGCATTATAACAGTGAACAATACAATCAGAAGACATACTACTTACCTCAAAGATAGAGGGCTTGATTGGCTTTCAACAAGTAATGGTTCTGTCTCATAGGTTCACTCTTCTGGTGCCAAGATTAAAGGAGTACTTAAATGTTGTCCTTTAAATTCTTCAAGGTCCTGCAAGCCAAATTCCCCTAAACTTTCAGTTCCGACACAAAAAGAAAAAGACCAACGATGCAGCCATCAAAAATTCCACCTCACATGATTTGAGCGCAGTTTAACAAAGAAAATTAGAAAATACCTCTCCAATGTAAGATTTCAATGGATGAATAAAAATGTGTCCATCTCCTTCTATTATAGCTCCAGCTTTAGCCAACCATCGACGATGCTCAGCCTGTAAATCTCTTTTGCATGTCTTCAAGCAGTCTTTTCCTACACTGTCGGCGTTCTTCAGCGGACTGAACTCTTTACCTCGAGAAACTTCCCAAACAAAAAAATTCCTACAAATATTCTTTACTAATGCATAAAAGCAGTATAATCTTAATTTATTGGCAGCAAAAAAAAAAAAAAAAAGCTGCAAAGAAGCGAAACTGTAAATCTTGTCATTTTCTTCAACAGTTACAAATAGAAGTTTCTCAGCAAATTCAAAAAAAAATTTGCCTAGAATGCTGAAAAACGTCAAATACAAATTGCTCCAACTTTACTCCGTTTGGGTAATTTGGCTTCACAACGATTCCACTGTCATTTACGTAGGGGATTTTTTTAGAAGCTCTGTGGAATGAAAGCCTGCACTCTTTAGTGCACACTGTAAACGAACAATATATATTAATGAAAACATTTACAGAAAAAATGCTAAAAACGCTATGCTGCTGATTTACAAAATGTACAATTGTTTACAATAATCTTTATTTTTTGATGAAATAAAAAGCACCTTTTTTAAGAAAATCTAATGTGAAAAAATGATTAACAATGTTGCCCGTTCTAAACAACAGACGCCCATCCGGTAACCTTTTCTCTGCGAGAGACTGGTCCAATTCTGAATATTCTACAACCTTAACTTTCCCATCAACACGACATATCACACCAACTGCTTCATTAGGATCTGTTTTTTCTACCGCCTTTAATGAAGGATAGAGTGAGTTATACCAGCATATTCCAATATAAAACCTTTGGTGCACACCTTCGGTTAAGTTATGATATTTTCAGTACAAGTTATTTAGATTTAACCGATTTAAAGAAATATTAAAACAACATTACTAACTTTAGCAGCACAATCAGCATTATTTTCAATGCAGAAACCAAGAAAATGAGGATCAGCTACCCGACATAAAATATTGTCAACGCAGTAAACATGAAAGTACTTCGTACCCAAGGAGTGCAGTTTTTCCAAGTAAGGCTCAATTGCTGCATAAAGTCCTCCGTTTCCATCTTAGAAAACACAAGATTAGGATTTTCAAAGTAATTAAATTAATATGAGTAGTCTTTGCAGCTAAACAAGTCACGAAAGCTTTGAAGAACCACCTCAAAAGCGACCTAAAAATCTAGAAATCCCACCTGGAGCTAGTGCTATTTTGCCTTTGTCAGCGAGAATAAAATTTCCCTCCAAGTCAAAGCAAGGCATCTTTCCTTGTTTAAATATAGTAACTTGGTCCATAGAAAGACCAAATTTTGAAATAATTTTTTTAAAATGCTCAGTAGTTTCTTCTTTTGTGTGATCACTTGTCATTACAAGCCTAAAAACACATTATTATTATTATATAAAAACAAAAGTTTTTGTACAATAAAGGCTTCAAAATTTTGTAACGCATACTCCCAATACCTAAACGAGTACTCAAAACCGATATTTTACCATTGAATGACACCTTTTCTTCCGGGAAATTCCCTCTCAGCAAGATGTTGTAAACGAGCAATGCGGGCAGCTTGCAGCTCAAAGAGTGAATCGCAACTTTTAATACCAATACTGAGCATTCCTTTGGGTGAAGTAGCTCCTAAACGACTTGCCTGTCCACCAGCTAAGACTACTACTGCAACTTTACCCTCCGCAATCGCCTTTAAACCTGCAACAGAAACAATAAAAATAAATTTCCATTTTTGAACACAGGGAGTTTAGAATTTTCTGAAGATACCTTTTTCCCAATAACGAGAAAGGTCGGTTGCATTAAGTTTCTCAGCGGCAGAACACCGGCTCTCCTCAATGCTGTCTATCCCGCGTAACTCCTAAACACTTCTTTTGAAGAAAGCGTACTAAAGTTGTAAGTGAGCAAAACAAAAGCAAAATTTACTGGTTGAACAGCAGAAAGTTTAAAGTTCTCAATGGCATCATCAACATCAATGGCTCTGTACTGCGCAATTAAAAATTCGCGCTGTTCTTGAGATAAGTTGTCCCAGAACTTTAGAAGGTGAGGCTGACGATTAAAAAGAGCCAAGTGAGCATCTGAAGAGATATAGAACGAGAAATCTTGGCATTAAAGAAAAGCGGAAGGAACTTTACCTGAAATTTTTACCAATTGTCTTCAATATAAAAACAGTACATGCTTAACAGGAAATTGAACCCAAAAACATGGCTACCTTCTGTTTCCATTGAAATCTCGTAATGCACAACAAAGTTGTTTACTTAAACTGATAATCTGAAATTCCCCAAAATACAGTAAACTACCAGAAACACTAAAAAACAGACGACGGCAAAAAATAATAATAATAATCTAAAAACTATTTGTATTCTGCTTTAATCGCATTATCAATTGCCCTGCATGACATTTGACAAAAGGAATTAACAACAAAAATACACAGATACAAAAGAATATATCAATGAAGCCAAAGAAAAAAAAACCAAATGCAAAATCAATGATTTCGCCAGCACTTTGCCAATTTTAACTGTCAGAAAAACTTAATAATTTATAGACTGCTATTTTATACTCAATCAAACTCTCAGGTCTGGTAAAAAAAATTTTTTCATGAACACGGAGACTTATATTAATATTATAACAGATGAAAAACCCTAATTAAATATTATCAAATTTCGTGTATAATTATAGATATTAAGTTAAAAACTAAATCTACCACTATTAAATGAACAAACAAACATTATATATATGACTTAAATTACCCACCCATTTTAATTGTCTTTCAGTAAAACTATCGCCAAAAAATACCGCTCAATCCAACGAATCTAACGAATCTTAGACCAACATCCACGTCATTTGGAATAAATGCAATTCGAGACACGTGAAGTTACTGACTCCTTGAATTGTGCCATCCGTATTTCAAGGTTGACAACTCAAAAAAGCTAACGAGAATCTCTTAACAGCCACTTGTGTGCTACTTATAGCTGAAACTTGTCTACGCTTAGGACCCACCTCTAACAGACACATAGAAGAGATCAACAATTCTTCCCGATAGCGCCCTGCTCTGGTCCACTTACTGTTGGTCCGAGAAGCACCCTCCCCATTCATTAATCGCCATTAATCGCAGAGTCTGCCAAAAGAAAGACCGTGGAAGGGTTAAACATAATACATTCTAAATTACTTATGCGACAATTTAAAACACTGGTAGTAATCCACAACTAAATGTACAACCAAGTGTTCTTTACGATTACCAAGAGCGCAGGGAAATTTATGACAAATCTACAAGTAAACATGGCACCAGTAAAAATTATATAAGTTCCAAATTACGAGAAACAGGATAAATAAGTCAGTGGCCAAGCGCTTAGTTGCAGACTAATTATCGTGATGTGATCCTCTGGTTCAGTGTGTACCGCACATAAAGTGAGTAGGTGGCAAAAATTGTCAACTGCAATCGATCCAAGGAATTAAACTTTGCCAGATATTTGGGTGTGTTACCGGGAGAAAGTGAAATGGAGAGTGCAGGGACGGCCATTTTCAGCCTATTAAAACCTAAGCCTCCCATAGTGCACTATTATATCAACAGTGGAAGAAGACGATGATTCTAATTGGGTGGTGCCAAAAGTAAACGGAATACACAAGTAATGCTAAACAGATGTTTGAAAAGTTATATTTTTGGCAGAGAAGAGATAGGCCACCCGAAATTTGCAGAAGATGGCTTTACAATATGGAAATTAATTATCCTTTATAAGCTCCACATATATAATACAAGGTTAGAAGAGTATGAAAGTCGAAAGTGGCTCGTATTTTCTGAGACTGGAAAAAAATAAATATTTGATTTCTGATCACCGTCTTGCATGAAACTGCGTCAAAGTTCCGTTTCAGTAGTATATATTGATGTTCTTTTTTACTAGTTGCCGCAAACACTCCAGATGACCTATCTAGACTTTCTATGATTATTGAAAAACACTAATTAATTGAATACTGCTCACAGCCGTCTTTTTGAAAATTCAAAAATTCATAAAAGCATCCACTCGCATACCTAAATCAGATGTTAAAATGAGGATTCTTAGAAGTAACAAGTCACCATCACATTTCTAGTCACTTAAATAGTTCGCTAGAACAGTAACTCTATGTTCCAAACAAATGACATAAATTTTGTTTCAAAATACGAAAACAAAAGCAGGCAACCAAAAAAGAAGACAGCCTTATATT